TACATTGGATCAAAGATGGCCTCTTCAACAAATGGTGCTGGATCAACTGGACATCTGCAGGCAAAAAAGTAATTTAGATGCAGATCTTACTTATATCCTTCACCAAAATCAACTCAAAATAGATGTAAAATGCAAAATAATAAAATTCCTACAAGGCAACATAGGAGTAAACCTAGATGTCCTCAGGTATGGTTAGGCCTTCTTAGACATGATATCAAAGGTACAACCCATGGAAGAAATAATCGATAAACTGGTCTTCATTAACATTAAAATTTTCTGCTCTGCAAAAGACAATGCCAAGAGAATAAGACAAGTCACAGAAGGAGGAAATATCTGCCAAAGACACATCTGATAAAGGGTTGTATTTCAAATATACAAGAAACACTTAAAACTCAAAAATAAGAAAACAACCCAAATATAAAATGAGCCAATGACCTTAACACCTCACCTAGGATGATACACAGAAGGCAAATAAGCATATGAAAAGATGTTCCACACCATCAAATGCAATTTAAAGTAACACTATCATGGGACGCATGGGTGGCACAGTCGTTAAGCGTCTGCCTTCGGCTCAGGTCATGGTCCCAGGGTCCTGGGATCGAGTCCCACATCGGGCTCCTTGCTCAGCAGGGAGCCTGCTTCTCTCCCTGCTTGTGCTCTCTCACTCTGACAAATAAATAAATCTTTAAAAAATAAATAAAAAATAACACTATCACAGATGTAATAACAAAGCCTATAATGATGGCCAAAATCTTGAATACGGACACCACCAAATGCTGGTAAGGATGTGGAGCAATAGAAGTCTCACATTGCTGGTGGGAATATCAAACAGTACTGCCACTTTGGAAGACAGTTGGGTGGTTTCGTACCAAACTAAACATACTCTGAACATACGATCCAGCAATCATGCTCCGAGGCATTATCCAAAGAAGTTAAAACCTTATGTCCACACAAAAACCTGCACACAAATGTTTACAGCAGCCTTTTCCATAAGTGTCAAACCGTGGAAGCAACCAAGAAGTTCTTCAGTAGATAAGAGTATATACAAACCACAGTAACTCCAGACAATGGAATATTATTCAGTGCTAAAAAAGGAATGAGTGCCAAGCCATAAAAAGACAGAAACCTTAAATGCATAATCAGTTAAAGAAGTCCATCCGAAAAAACTGTATACTGTATGATTCCAAGTTATGACATTGTGGAAAAGGCACAACTATAAAGAAAATAAAAAGCTACGTGGTTGCTAGGGGTGGAGGATTTAGATAAATAGGCAGAGCACAGAGGACTTTTAGGGCAGTAAAAATACTCTGTATGATACTATAATGATGGATATATTTTATACATTTGTCCAAATCCATAGAATGTATAACACCAATATAGAACTTGGGAGTGATTATGTAGTATCAGTGTGGTTTTGCCAATTGTAACAAATGTCCCACTGTGGTTGATGGGTGGTGATAATGGGGGAGGCTATGCATGTACAGGGGGCACACGGGAAACCTATATAACCCTCCTCTCAATTTTGTTGTAAACCTAGAACTACCCTATAAAGAAGTCTTAAAAAAATAAAAATAAATAAAAAGGCTCCCAATAAGCATTCTTGACAAGAACACCTGATTTTCCAGGAGTAGATTACGGATACCCATACTGGGTTAGTGGATCTGTAAAGTATGAAAATAAAGAAAATTGTTAGTACGTCTTCCAGTGCCTAGAAGAGCTCCTCGTACAGGGACTCAAATTATCACGGCACAAATGACTACAGGATTTAGCATGGAAGAAGAGAAAAAAGGAGGAAGAGTTTGGTTAAGGTTTTTCAGTATCTGAAGGTAGCTAAGTAGAAATCAAGTAAAAGTCTTCCGTACCATTATAATAGGAAAATAAGAGAATGAAAGGTCTATTTCAGCCTATTTTATTTTTTTTATTTTTTATTTTTTTAAAGATTGTATTTATTTATTTGAGACAGAGAGAATGAGAGAGAGCACATGAGAGGGGGGAGGGTCAGAGGGAGAAGCAGACTCCCTACTGAGCAGGGAGCCTGATGTGGGACTCGATCCCGGGACTCCAGGATCATGACCTGAGCCGAAGGCAGTCGCTTAACCAACTGAGCCACCCAGGCGCCCTATTTCAGCCTATTTTAAATAGACATCTTTAACAACCAGTTGTCCAACAATGGTGTATGTTTCCTCAAATGCACAGAGCTAACTGAACGCATTCAAGCAAAGAAGCCAGATGGCTCTCTCAGAGGGACACGAAAGAAAACACACCTGCCCTGCAAACACTAGGTTACCTCAAGTTGCCCCCCACTCCCTACGCACACGATTCATTACTCACAACATCAGGAATAAATGGCAACAGTCTTCCTACTTTGAAAATGAAAAATAAAGTTGCCTCAAAACAACAGCCCTTGGGCCAGAAGCCACAACCTTACACATGACCTAAAAGCAAATCAAAAGCTTAAATTCTCTGGAAGTCATAAAAACAAAAGAAACTATTCCACTGCGATAAATGAGTACCTTCAAAGACAATGGTATGATAAAGACATAGGAATACTCTCAGAATGAAATCTATTTGTTTGAGCATCTGTTTGCCACCTACAAAGAATAACTCTTTCTGATGGATTTAACCAAGAAAAAAAAGGTAATAAAATTCATTTGATGGGACGTTAATGCACAAACACACCTCATTTTCCTAGAAAACCTCAAAAGATATCTGGTGTTAATGTATCAAAACCCAGATTTTGTGTGCGTGTGTGATCAAGCCGTAACATTTTAGCATTGTGAATATTAAAACTGCCCTCATAACATCACTTGGTATTTTCAATGGTTTCATCTAAAAGAATACCCTTATTTCTGATAATGCTACAATGTATCAATTTACAACATTTTTTTTAGATAATTAAGATTATTTTTACACTCACTTTGGAAGCTTTAGCTTCTAGAAGCATGGAGCTATTAAAATGCTAATATGGAAAGATGAGGTGGGGATGTTACACATAATACCAGTAAAACACAGGAAATTGATTCTCTAGATGATGTGGAAAAGCTGGCTTATAAAGTTAATGAGATATTACTTAAGGCAAAAGAAACAATTTGCCCATTAACAATGAGGATAAGCCAAACATTTTTGTCATCAAATATGACACTAATAGAACGACAAAAACTAAGTAGATATGAAAATCAACTAAAGTACGGGGAAAAAAACTACATCAAACACATGAAATATAGTTACAGCAGCAAGTCTTAGCAAGTTAGAAATAAATGTAAGAGAATAAAAAGAATTCCAACAATTATATGGGTTATACACCAAGGAAAGTGTCACTAGTCAAAGGAGTAAATTTCCCATTGAACATTTAAGAGACTTGACAACTACCTGGGATGGATTTCTAATATAGCAGGAGAGTAAAGTAAAAGGATTAACCCTGAAACCCAAAAATCCACTACTTTGTCTCTTAGATATCTTAGCTAGCCTCAGATAACAAAAATAGCACAATCCTTAAGCAGTAGCTTTAGCCAGAGATTTCTTGGCCATCCACAAAGTTAAAAAAAAAAAAAAAAAACCTGCAAGTTTTCCAAGTTTCAAAGCAGGCATAGTGCTTTAATTTAAATAACAAAAATGCCACGCTGATTTTAGGAAAAATATATAGTCAGAAAACCCAGGTTTCAGTCCCAATTCTATCTCCAATATCCATTGCCAAAGGCTTTTCCTTAGGAAAGGAGTATTTTATTCCCTGTGTATGAAGTATATTCCAAAATTTTGAGTCCATCATTTGTTCCTTGCTGATATGAATGACAAATTTTTAACATCTAGATATCACAAATCATCATTAAATACAGGTCAGGTATTTCTGAAGAAAATTTAACAATGTGAATTCAGATGTGCTGCGAGTGTAAACTACACACTGGTGTTTGCAGATTTAGTACAAAAAATGTCAACTCCGGGGCTCCGGGTGGTTTAGTCGGTTAAGGGTCTGCCTTCAGCTCAGGTGTGATCCCAAGGTCCTGGGATTGAGCCCCTGTGGCATTGGGCTCCCTGCTCAGCAGAGTCCGGTTGCCCTCTCCCTCTGCCCCTCCCCCTAGCTCATACTCTCACTCACGCTGTCAAGTGAAAATTTTTCTAAAAAAGTCAACTATTGCATTAGTAATTGCTTATTCTGATCACATATTGAAATAACATTTTAGATATTAAGTTAAATATATAAAATTAAGTTCATCTGTTTTATCTTTTTAACGGGCTTACTGGGAAAGTTTAAGTTACATATGAAATTACATTTCTATTGTATTGAATGGCCTGCTGCAGGCTGAACTCTTCACAGTAAGGTTTGTAAATTATTTTTCTACAGCATCTACTGAAGTATGGTACATAACAGATTCTCAAAAAGCATTAAAGGAACTTTATATAGAAGAATACAACAGCAACTAAGTAAGACCAAAGTTGACTTTTTGATTCATATACCAGCTATATTCTGTTGGAGTGACATTAAAAACCTCTTATTTAGTAATCGTGACAATTCTGAAATATGGACCAAGACAACCAAAAAAAATTTTCAGCTGAAAAAGTAAACGGACATACCTAATTTGTATGGGGCTGCATCATGTTCTCCCAGAATTCCTGCTTAAGTCCTGTATCTGTACCTCAGAATGTCACTGTATTTGGAGATAGAGCCTTTAAAAGGATAATTAAAATAGGGGCACCTGGGCGGCTCAGTCGTTAAGCGTCTGCCTTCGGCTCAAGTCATGATCCCAGGGTCCTGGGATCGAGCCCCGCGCCGGGCTCCCTGCTCAGCGGGAAGCCTGCTTCTCCCTCTCCCACTCCCCCTGCTTGTGTTCCCTCTCTCGCTGTGTCTCTCTGTCAAATAAATAAATAAAATCTTTAAAAATAAATAAATAAAATAAAATAAAGGATAATTAAAATAAAATAAATCATACAGGTGGACCTAATCCAATAGGACTGGTATCTTTGTAAGAATAGGATATTAGAACACAAGTAACACACAGACCAACCGGCAATCCAGGAGGACACAGAAGACCGGCATCTAACTGCAAGCCAAGGAGAGGGGTTTCAAAAACACCTTGATCTTGGGACTTCCAGCTTGAGAATTAAGAGAAAATAAATTTCTATCACTTGAGCCACCCAGTCTACGGTACTTTGTGGCAGCCTAGTACACTAATACATTGTTCCAAACACTTAAAACTTTTCCAACTTGAGCGGAGTTTTGGCTTTTACTTAAGTTGCAAATTCAATTCCTCACTCACACGAGCCACATTTCAAGTGCTCAATAGCCAGATGCAGCTAATGGCCACACTACTGTACAGTACAGACCTAGAGAGAACACCAGACCAAGGATTTCCAAAAAGAATGCTTAAAGTAGTTGGGAGATATAACCAAAAAAATGTGTTCTTATATATATATCGAAGCATGCTCCATCTTTAATTTTAAAACAAAATGCAAATGCAGAGGATTCAAATCCACCCTTGTGTTATTCTTACTATGATTTGCTGAGTAGATTAGGGAAGGGAGTTCATAGTTTAGAGCTATGTTTGGTACATCTGAATGTCATCACCAAGGTTTCTCGAGATGTGTCCATTGCTGCAAAATACAGAGAACTACTGATGTAGGTGGCCAGGATACATTTACCAGTACAAAAGAGTCAGAATTCTAGGTATGATTTCCCAGAAATTCCCCAATTAGCCACTGGTAAATTGGAGAACGCTAATACTCAGCTGTAGATTTTATCATGCCTCTTGTCAACTTAATCAGGCATTTTCAATAGAAATTAAATTCCAGAAATATAAGACATGGCATGAATACGCTACTGAACAGGATATTCCTAGATTATCATAAACATGAGGGATCAAAAAAGTATGTCCACTATTAATAACTTCATGTATCTATAAAGTTTAAAAAGCATGGAAGAAAAATACAGAATCCAGGAAACAAAATAGTTCTGCTAGACTTGCCTAACAGTACCGAACACATTTACTAAAATAAGTAGCTATCTCCTTTAAGAATTAGAAAAATGAAGGTAGAGGGGCACCTGGGTGGCTCAGTCGATTAAGTGGCTGACTCGATCTCAGCTCAGGTCATGATCTTGGGGTCATGGGATGAAATCCCGAGTTGGGCTCCGAGCTGGGCATAAAGCCTGCTTAAGATTCTCTTCACTTGGGGCGCCTGGGTGGCTCAGTTGGTTGGGCGACTGCCTTCGGCTCAGGTCATGATCCTGGAGTCCCAGGATTGAGTCCCGCATCGGGCTCCCTGCTCGGCAGGGAGTCTGCTTCTCCCTCTGACCCTCCTCCCTCTCATGCTCTCTGTCTCTCATTCTCTCTCTGTCAAATAAATAAAATCTTTAAAAAAAAAAAAAAAAAAAAGATTCTCTTCACTTCCTTTGCCCCTCCCCACCCCCACTCTCTCACCCTAAGGGGGGGGGGGAGGAACATAGAGAGTCCAAAATGTAATCTTCAGTATAATAAAGTTCATCTACTGTAAAGTATTGTACATTTGCATAGAACTTTACTTTTTAAGCTGGCTTTTTTTTTTTTAAGATTTTATTTATTTACTTATTTGAGAGAGAGAGAGAGAGAGAGAGAGAGAGAAACAGCATGAGAGGGGATAGGGTCAGAGGGAGAAGCAGGCTCCCCACTGAGCCAGGAGCCCGATGTGGGACTCGATCCCAGGACTCCGGGATCATGACCTGAGCCGAAGGCAGTCGCTTCATCAACTGAGCCACCCAGGCGTCCTAAACTGGCTTTTTATACGTTATCTTAAATTTGCCCAAGAACTTCATGTTTGGATATATTCTTAGTTTACATAAAGAAACTAAGGCTCTAAGAAATTAAGTGACATGCCCAATGTCACCTAATTTGTAAATGACTAAAAGACAAACCTTAGTCCTCTAGTTCCAAAACTTTGTATAGGCTTCACCCTGTTAAAGCATTAAAACTATGCCTAGTGTGGTGTTATGTAAATGTTATAATAAAAATTTTTAATACAATTATAGTGACTTGATCAAGTGTTGTACTAACAAGACTTAAAATGGTAATTACATTCAGAATAAATCTCAACCATGGTAATTCGGTTTAGAAGAAATAACTCCCGAGAGCATTATGGTCACAGGAATCTTTTTAAAATTTAAATGTATATAATCTTTTTGCAAAGAAATACCAAGTGATAGGGGCGCCTGGGTGGCTCAGTCGTTAAGCATCTGCCTTCGGCTCAGGTCGTGATCCCAGGGTGCTGGGATCGAGCCCCGCATCGAGCTCCCTGCTCAGTGGGGAGTCTGCTTCTCTCTCTCCTGCTCCCCATGCTTGTGTTCCCTCTCTCGCTGTGTCTCTGTCAAATAAATAAATAAAATCTTTAAAAAAAAAAAAAATACCAAGTGATAGATAAAAGGCTTTCTAGCATAAATTTATGATGATCAAATTAGGTGGGGAAAATAAAATCGAACTTTTAAAACTAGTTTTTTTATATATTAAGTGAATAATGTCTCATCTACCTGCTGTATTTTTTTATTCCATCAGATCCATTTAAGAGTGATATAAAAGTGATTTAGAAGGTCAATATTCAATGTTAAAAGAGGATTTAAAAAGTGAGGAACTGAGCTATATTTAAAAAGACTGAAGAATGAACACGTGGTCCCAGATGGGAACAAGCAACTGGAAAAGTTATTTTGGAACAATGGGAAAATTTAAATATGGACAGGTACTATGAAATTTTAGGTAGAAAGAGTAGAGTTATGAACTGAATGAAACAACTTACAGTATGTTCTCATTTAGGTTTAAAAATACTTCACTATAATTATACACAATAAATATCTGGAGGGATATAAACACACACACTACATACATGGCAATAACAGCAGTAATCTCTGAGAGGCTAGAACATGGCACTGTTATTTCATTTTTGTTTACCTTCTAAATTTTTATAACGCATATGTACGATGTTGTAAAAATATAAAAATTTTAAAATATCAATATTTTTATTAAGCCAGAAATAAAAACCTGTCTTCTGTGTCTTACATTTGTGAAATAAGCACATGTGAAATAATGATTCTGAAGATGGTTTGACTCTTCACTTTTATTTTAGCTCTCAGGTGTTTATAATAAATCAACTTTACTTTCAAATATATGGAGTTCTGAATATAAGCTTCATGCTAAAAAAATGAAATGATCACAGACACTGAAGAACCCAAAAAAAGTCCCTATTTATAATATTTTGAAAAGTCACCTATATTTAGAGTTTAAAATAGCAATTGTATGCCCATACCAGTTAAATATTGTTCATCATGAATTAAAACAAAAATCTTTAGGTAAGAAGTTAAGAAGGAAATGAGAAAAATTCTTGCTATTTATCAGTGTTAAAATGCTAGTCTTAAATCTTCCCAACAACTGTCCTTAGAAACTCTCATTCTCTGTATATCACTGATGAGAAAAATCTTAAGGACTGAATCCAGAATAAAGAAACTCCTGCTTGGCAATCATTTTCCAATACTATACACATATCAAATCATTAAGCTGTACATCTGAAACTAATACAATGTTACGTCAATTATACCTCAATTTATAGAAAACAAACTACAAATTGATTTTTTTTAAAGATTTTATTTTTCAAGTAATTTCTACATCCAATGTGGGGTTTGAACCCACAACCCAGAGATCAAGGGTCACATGCTCCATCAGCCAGGCGCCCCTACAAATTTATTTGTAAAAAAGTAAAGATGGAGCACCTAGCTGGCTCAGTGAGTAGAGCACCAACTCTCAGGGTCGTGAGTTCAAGCCCCATGTTAGGTGTGGAGATAACTTAAAAATAAATAAAAGGAAAGACCTCCCCTCCCCCAATAGCAAAATGGCAAAGAGTCATAAATGTTTCACAAAAGATCTGCAAAAGGCCAATAAACACTCAAAAGATAAGCATTCTGCCATAAAGGAAATGTAAATTAAAATCACAGAGATGCCTCTAGATATCCACCAAATGGCTAAAATTCTAAGGATTAGAAAAGAACATTCTTTTATAAATTTAGCATGAGATAAGGCATGAGTATTAAAGCTGGAACAAATGTTCACATAAGTAAACACGTGTTCATGTGGCTTGGGCAGACAGGGAAAGATAAAATGTGTTCTGGAAAAGTAGTTAGGAATCAGAACTCAGAGCATCTTCAAGTCCAGGAGAAGGACTTTAACCCATATAGGATTAGCAAACCCATGAAATGGATGACAGCTTTGTGTAGAATGTTCCAAGGGGGGAGAAGATACAGAAGATTTCAGAAGCATTTCTTATCTCCTACCCTGCATTAAATTTCTCTATCCTCCACAATCTGATGTTACCCTCACTCCTCAACCAAAATCCCCACCTGCACTCTCCAACCTACTCAGAGTTTCATTCTCTTTACTCACCACCAGGTGAGCTCACACCTGGTCAGAGGGAGCACAGAGCTTTCACTCAGGGCACATCACCCGCATTACTCTTCTGCTCCCCCTAGACTGCTCTCAATTTAAGTCCAGTGCTTTTGCAGAGGCACAGCTGAGGTCTACCCATTCCGTGATTTCCTGCCTACTCCAAACTGCCCTCATCTCCTTCCCGAGTCCCTCCCTTCCTTATGTGGGTTCCTGTAATACACAATTCAACATCTAACTAGAATCCGTATATTGTTCTCAACTCTCCAACCAGACTATAAACTCCTGGATAGAAGGGATCACACCTTCCACTTTTGTACCTCTGCTGCACCTACTACCAAAGAATATACACTAGCTAGTTGTCAGTTCCTCTTGATACAGAAATGCAAACATACCCTTTCATCCAACAATTCTATTTCTAGTTTATCCTACTGATATATACATATACACACAATAACCTAGGATCAAAAAGAGCATTATAGATAGTAACAATAAAAACTGGAAATAACCTAAATGTCTTTTAAGAAAGACTAGTTCATTTGAGTCTATACTGCCTATTAAAAAACAGAACTTGGGGGCGCCTGGGTGGCTCAGTTGGTTAAGCGACTGCCTTCGGCTCAGGTCATGATCCTGGAGTCCCGGGATCGAGTTCCGCATCGGGCTCCCTGCTCGGCAGGGAGTCTGCTTCTCCCTCTGACCCTCCCCCCTCTCATGCTCTATCTCATTCTCTCTCTCAAATAAATAAATAAAATCTTTAAAAAAAAAAAACAAAAAACAGAACTTGGGGTGTTGTATGAAAGCAGAGAAGGTGAGCACTCCCCTTGACAAGGATGGATGAGGCCCTCGGGCCTGACAACAAGCACACATACAGTTAAGTCACTGCCACCTACTTTGTGGCATCTAGCCATCGTTTTTTTGGTTTGTTGAATCACTATATTGTACACCAGAAACTATGTTAGCTACACTGCAATTAAAGTTAAAAAAAAACAAAAATCAAAAAGACAACTTGGGATACCTATACATATGGACCTTAACATAGTAAGTGAAAAAAGTTGCAGGAAATGGGTAAATAGGTCCTATCTTACTTATATAAACATAATTTACAAAAACAATTTTAGAATGATCTCTGGTAAGTCGGATGGACTTTTTCACTTCAGAAACACTTCTATTTTGTTTGAAAAAAATAGAACACATACAATGTAGTAAAAAAAAAAAAATTTACTCACTGTCCCAAAAAAGTAAATAACAATTTATAATAGGAATCCATTTTCTTTAAAATAAAGCTCATAATATGCTGAGGTATATGTAACAAAATGAATATTTAGAACATATGCCAACTGTTAATAATGGTTATTTCTAGAAGAGGGATTACAGGAAACTCAAACTGCATTAGTTTTTCTTTAAACAAGCACTTACTTTAGTTATCCTCCCCCACCAAAAAAAAAAAAAAAAAAAAAAAAAGATTAAAAAATCTGAGCTAGGATCCCAGAGATGTAAGCATTTTGGTCCACCTGGCAATTAGTTAAAACCAGCTTAACTGGTGGACAGCCCACTGTATTAAATCTGAGTAAGCATTACAGGTAAATCACATCTACCAATCAGTCACAGAAGTTACTGATTGAAAAGCTACTTCTCCGGGGGGAAATCGG